TGTGTGTGTGTGTGTGTGTGCATGTGTGTGTATTAGCACCTTTGAGTTCCTGTTGTCGTCATTCAGTAGAAGAATGGGTTAAAAAAGTCATTTTCAATAATTTTCCCCCTATAGATTACTATCACAGAGTTCGACTCCTGATTGTGGCGATGTTCTCTCTTTATTCTCTGGACGTATTCCTGCACATGCAGGCAAAGTTACATATATTTGTCAAACTGTCATATTTCAGAAACTGACTTTTGCAAGACACAACAGGCCGATCTTTCATGGCTGCATACCACAGAAACCACATTCTAACTATTATTTCCTTCATCTTTCCCCCTACAGGTTAGGTGACAATATCCTGTACTCCTTCTAGAAAGATCTCAGCTTCTGCAGGATACACAGAAATATCTGTGTTTTCCCTAAAGCAACTGCATAAAGTGTCTCCCGTTTCATGAAGTCAACTACAGAGCAAAGATCCACTTGATGAGGCTTGAATTATACGCCTGTGGTACTGGAGTGTTTTTATCGGTCTCTCTTGAGATGTAGGACAACATAACTGTAATTAGATTGTAAAATTTATTTTGTAAAATTAAGAAAAAATCAGATGATCACTAGAATGTTCTTAACACAAATTGACCATGTCTGTATGTTTGATTTTGTCTTTCAACCACGACTTTCACTCTCTACTCCATACTTCATATTATAATATTTATAAACCTTGAAACAAATTGAAATAGAAACATAATATTTGTTGAAAATACATTTTCATATTTAACTGCTTTGAGTTTAATATAGTCACACAGATGCTGGAGTTTTATTGTATGCTTATTATGTGGCCCAACCATGATACAGCAATACTATCACAGAAATTGCTTGGATTGGATTTTTGGAATACTTTTCCATCATAATTTTCTATCATATCCTATATACTATATAGTATTTAGCAACACTAGAAAAATCTAGTCATTTTAGGCCATGTTTTCAATATTTAGATTTTAAATGATTTTTAAAATATTTTTAAACATTATTTTATTACTGTCAGATTGTGTTGACACATAACAGGTGATAGGCTTGCTGTGTTAACACGAGTGGAAAAATTCAGAAAAAAGCAGGCGGTTGCCATCAGTGTTGGGGAAAGTTATTTAATGCATTACAATACTGCGTTTTGGAACTAATGAAACTAATTGCGTTACTTAGTTACTATTTATGGAAAGTAATGCATTGCATTACTTTTGTGTTACTTTTTGTCACCTGAGCTGGGCTTGCTTATTTATTTTTTAATAACAAAAAACGCAAAAGGTATATTTTTGGCAACTGTAAAGGCCCTTTCAAACCAAAAGTGAAATGAATAAGCCTCAGGCTGAAAGAAGTGCCTCTGCCGCCGCACCTCACTCCTGATTTCTCGAAAATGAAAAAACAAAGTAACTGCCATTGCTTATTTGAAAAAGTAACTCTAGATATTTTGTTGTACATTTAAAAGTAATGCGTTACTTTACTAGTTACTTGAAAAAAGTTATTTGATTACATAACTTGCGTTACTTGTATTGCCTTAACCCAATGCGGGTGGTTACATCCAAATATAGATAAATATGTTGAACAGATTGTACATAAACTTTTATGTTTTCAGCTTTGTAGCCTCTGTTTTGTCCTGGGACTGAAAAACCAATATTGTGAAATAACAGCTTCCACAAAGCTAAGAAACCAGCAGGTGAAGCTGTGCTTCAGTAAAGCTGTAAAAATCAGCATGGCTTCGATTATTTACAAGATTAGTTTTCATGTCTGGGGGTCATTTATAGCACATGTAGATCTGCAGGCTCTACAGAAGATCTGAAACATATACTGCTTCACCTGTGGAACGCCGCTTTATGATAAACGTTGTGCTTTTCCAGGCCATTTTTACAGGGACTTTTAATGACCTGGTGTCAAGGTGACTGTTAGTGGATGTAAGACATCATGTTCACACAGGCGTCCTGACAGAATAACCACTAGTGTAGTTCACAGCCTTAACTTATTCCAGTGACATTTGACAAGATTTTTGTCTTCATTTCAATATATATATTGTATAATCATTTAAAACCCAACAGGGTCATTCTGTGTCAGCTTAACTGAGTTCAAATATTTGATTTTGCTAATATTTTTTTCTGAAGAAAGATAAACATGTATAGTGATGAAAGCCAAAATATTAAATGGCCTACACAATCGTTTTTGATAACAAGGTACATTTCTAGCATTACTTATTCTTCAGATATTCTGCTTTAAATACAGTAAGTGTCAGCTGCACACAAAGTGACCAACATTTGGTTTTCAAGCACTGAAAATAGGTAATATTCAACAATCTGAATATGGAGCCTCTTGAGATCCCCATATCTCTGGGATTGAACGATGTAGGGCCTTGAAAATGAAGACTCAAAAAGAAACGTTTATTAAGAACTACAATATAAAATCCTATTGCAATACCTTAAATAAAGAAGCATTATATTTGTGCAAAGTGACACACATTTGGTTTTTGACCATTGAAAATGTGTACAATTTAATGATTTATTCCTGGAGCCATATTGAAATTCCAATATGTTAGGAACTGAACCATACAGGGCCTTAAAAATGAAGATGCCAAAAGGAAAGTTCGTTAAGACCCAATATCTAAAAGGGCATTAAGACATCATTAATAATTTTTGAGTTACAGGCCTGCAAACTTTGGATAAAAAACTTGAAAAGTGCTCTTTCGCCATTTTTGAACGGTCACCATTGGCACATAATGCAACAAAAATTGCTAAAGACATTTTTTTTTTAAAGTCAGTCAATATTTCACTAACAGACCTACCAATCTTTGTGTAAAAATAACATTGTGATGCTGCCGTCTTTCTGAAGTCATTTTTAACCCCCTGTAATTTGGCTCTGAATCTCAGGTGAAAATGGCCATTTTGACCCCCCCTCTACAAAACAGTGGATTACTCAATAAATATTCATCCATGACATTTAATATTTTGTCATGTTTATCTTTCTTCAGAAAAAAAATATTAGCAAAATCAAAAATTTGAGCCGGGGAAGTTTCTGAAATTTGGTTGATTTGACACTGAATGACCTAACAACTTTTTGCCAGATGTTTTTGCATGACATTTTTTGTTTCTTGAAAAGAAATCACAGATATTTTGTTATCTAATACAATGACATTCAGATATTTGTAAGTGTGATTTTTTGAGGCCACTGTAAGTGTTCAGAGGACATGGCATTGCAGGCTGGGAGGTTTGGCCGCTCAAACTGAGGTCAGATGTCAGTGCTGCTTCTTCAAAGGCCCACTTTTGGTTGAGGTGCAGGTAAAATCTTATGAAAGGGGAGGGAGAAAGCGTGAGATAAAAGGAGAGGAAAATGACGGATGAATGTGATCATTGTTTCCCTGCGCTTTGCTGTTTCACATCATAACGCTCATGGAATGTAGCTGTTAGCTCATTCGCTCACACTGTGTGCTGATCTGAGAGCAGATCTCCATTCACTCAGATCAGCATCTGCCCTGTGCGCTGCACTCACAACAGGTTTCTGTCGTTTCTGTTCAGTATCTGGACTGCAGAAGCTGATCTGAGTTCATCTTCACTGCTTCTGTTAGGCATGAGATTGCGCTCAAGCGCTGATAAGAAACCCGCGAGTCCCACATG